ATTAAGGGGCAGAAAGGGAGGGTGGGGGAAATGTGAGTAGTCAACTAGATTAACCGCTAAATTTAGGCCCTAGGCTTATTGGTTAATCATCTAGTCAACTACTCATTGACAACCCTAGTAGAAACATAAAAGATGTCAAGTGCGTATGCTCTCCAAGACAAAGCAGAAAGAGGGAGGGGAGGGCAAAGAGGAAAAACACACAGACTAGATGGTGATGAGCCATACCCTCATAAATAATGCCATAATACAGGGGTTCCCAACCTTTTTCGGTCCCCGTACCCCTTTGGCTTTTAGTAAACCTTCCCGTACCCCCTATTCAATATGAAAGGAAATAAATTCTAGACTCTAGAATGCACAACTTTTTTCACTCACACTACTACTTTTCGAATATTTCAATTAGGATAATATAGTTATTTACCAAATATTCCCCATATCTCCTTGACAAGCTTCTCGTACCCCCTGGGGGTACATGTACCCCAGGTTGGGAACCCCTGCCATAATAGATTTCTGGGGTGGCAGATCTCAGAAGAAAAGTGATGGTGAGTGACTGAACCCAGGATTTCTTAGATCCACAAGTGGCGGGACACAACTTTTCATTTGGATTTTACCTCTGAATAGATCACTGACAATTTAGCAACTCGTTGGGTAGTGTCCAGAAGTGGACATGTTGCCAGTGCTTGCGGTCATCTGTCATTCAGCTTTCCCTTCTAGGAAATCTGTTTTCTGCAACCTTCTGGAATGAAAAACAGGTCAGTTAGATTCCTTGCCTCAGCTGATCATGCTGCCAAAATTGTGTGACCTTCAAAGACCACATGTTACTTGAAGTCAGCACATACACCACTGTTTGTCCAGCCTAGGACAGGAGTGGCTCTTCCCTGGGAAATAAAAATAGCACATTTATGAAAGAATTTCCTTCGATCGTTTTACAGCCCTGCTGAAAAGTCAATACTCTCTCCTTGTATTGGTAGGCTAGTGCCATGTCAGCTCTCATAGAGGGTACGTCTAAACTACATGGCTCCGTCGACGGAGCCATGTAGATTTGTTTGTTTGGCAAAGTCAAATGAAGCCGCGATTTAAATGATCGCGGCTTCATTTACCAAGATCACTTTTTAAATGACAGACCAAGCCAAGAGCTACCGCCCCGCCCCTTCCTTGAAGCCCTGCCCTCTCTATTCTCCTCCTTTCCATCACTTGCTATCCCCAATCCTTATACTGCTGCTTATTATTATTATTATTTTATTCTTCTGTAGGAAGAGGTTTTTTCAACATTTGGCCTGTCTACACTGCACCAAATGTCAGAAAAAAAACCCCTTCTTTTGGAAGCCACGAGGAATAACGGGGCTACCGACAAAGGGCTTTGATGTCAGCAGGGGAGCTTCCAGACTAGCGTGCTGAGCGGAGAAACAGCTGATCAGCTGTTTGTCGGCTCAGCGCGGCAGCCATGTAAATGAAGCCGCGATCATTTAAATCGCAGCTTCATTTGCCTTTGCCTATGTGTCTAATCTACATGCCTCTGCCGCCAGAGGATATTCTAGGAAGGCGATATGATCTTTAGCAATCAGAGCTAGCACCAGGCTCAGATGACGTAGCTTCTCTTTCCACTCAGCCAATAAACTCACTGTGTGATTTTTAGGCAAGTCACAGACAACCATATCTTCAAGGATTGGCACTTATTGGGAGCATCCCAATTGGAGACAATTTAGTACTAAGCCTCTGCAGCTCCCATTCCCTTCGATCGGAGACGTGGGTGTCCAGAACTTCTGAAAAAATCAGCGCCCACCGAAAAACAAACCCTGCAAACGCAGCACTGAGAACTGCAGCCTTCGCCTCTAACCTGCCCTTAGAGTTCTCGGAGGCTGGAGGCTTTGAATTAAAAGCACAGCAAAGGGCTCGCCACTCCTAGCCTTGCCGCTACCACAACTGTCTGGGGTTGCTGCAGCTATTTAAAGGGTTTGTGGCTCCGGCCCATGCCGGGGTAGTGCCGTGACCATGAGCTGTGAGCCATATAAATAAGACCTTGTGCCTTAACCACCACCTATACGGTGGCACGGGTAGCAGGATCTGAATAGAAAGGGGCCAGATGCAGTCCGTGGGCCGGATCAAAGCGCTAGGTGGGTCCCAAGCTGCATCTTGCCCAGCCTGATTTAGCATATGCCAGCAGGGTCCACATGAGGGAGTTAGCCCGTAATCCAGATTCCAGTGTAGTAATCCAGCAAAACCTTGTATACTGGGCTATGACTACACTACAGAGTTTTTCCGGGATACTAGAAAAACTCTGCTGCGTCCAGGGAACGCGTCCGCTTTTTCGGAACAGTTTCCAAAAAAGCAGGCACGTTCTTTCGGAAGCCCTGTACTCCTAATTTTATGAGGAATAAGGGATGTTCCGAAAGAGGAGGTTTTCCCAGTTGGCCCCGTGTAGACGGGCCAAATGTCAGAAAAGCCTCTTCCGGGGAAAAAAAAGCGGAAAAAGGTACGCAAATTGCCTAACTTTTTCCAGAAGAAGATCTCAGTGTAGACATAACCCGGGTGTTGGACCACTTGGTAGCATTTAAGGGGGTGTGGAGAAGTCTAAAATAGATAAGCCCCTGTCAATATGGCCTATCTTTGGTTATTTCTATTTTAACATTTGCTGAGTGTGGCCTGCACAAAGGCAGGGTATCAGACCAGGCCCCCTATTTCCAATGAGTTTGACACCCTTACTCCATATCCTCCCATCATCCACCGTCTGACTGACCCGGCACTGATTACATTCACCACCGCTATCCCTACCCCTCTTACACATACACACCCTGAATCACAGCGTCTCCCAGTCCCCCAAGGGCTGTCTCCTTTTACCACTGAACCAAGAAAGCCAAATTAAAGACCCACCCACCCCTTTAATCATGAATATAATTTACAACCAGCCAAGTGGCAGGTGAGCTGGAAGGGACCGCCTTCTAAATAGTATGGTGGGAGCAGTCTCCCCAATGAGTATTTATTGAAGCTGGTAAAAAAAATGTTTCACTAACATTTATAAAAGACATGGGTTCCGTTTTGGTGTTTGTCCCGGCTCTGTTATTTATCCATCCTCCAAACACGGCATGTGAGCCAGCGGCTGTATTTGAACAGATGCTTTCCCCAGCTTTGTTTTTTAAAGCTCAGTTTACGGGCTCCCCTGCTTCTAACAAAAGCAAAACAGAGAAGCGCTCCCAGAGAAAGTCAGCAAGGGACACGGAAGGGGAGCAAAAAGGCCTTCAGGTCAAGCCGTTGGTTCCAAGCAGGGACGCTCAGCCCCTGCTGATGGTACGACGCCCTGTAGTGCTCTGCAATGGGGCCAGCCTCACACTGCTATTTACAAAGCCTGGCTTTCCAGCACAGCGGGGGGGGGGGAATAAACATACATAAAAATCTCTCCTCTCTTCTATCAGCAGCCAATGCCTGGTAGGGGTGTAAAATCCCATTTAATCAGTTAACAAGGGAGGGGGAGTGCTGGAGCACCCCGCCCGCCCAGCAGCGTGGCGTGGAGGGCCTGCTGGGCTGGAATGGCCCCCTGTCACGGTTAGGGGGAGCTTCAGCCTGGCCTGCTGCGTTGTGGGCTGCTCCGGCCAGACCAGGCCCACCATGCTGCACCACGTGTGGGCAAGGAGCTGATCCAGGCCCCGGGTTGACAGAAACAGGGAAGCATCATCCAGTAAGGGTGCTGCTAGTTACCCATTCACATCCCTAGT